CCTGCATCTAAGGATTTTGTGACCTGGTCATAGAAGGCCACCAGGTTGGTCTGACAGGACCTGCCTATATTGAACCCATCTTGGTTGCCCCTAAGCATAATCTCCCCTGCTGGCCCCTCGTGGACATGCACCAGTATAATTCTCTCAAAAAGCTTACCCAGGATCGAGGTAAGACTAACTGGCCCATAGTTTCCTGTGTCCTCCTTCCTCCCTTTTTTGAAAACGGGAAACACATTGGCCCTTTTCCAGTCCTCTGGCACCACACCAGAGCACCATGAGTGCTTGTAAAGCCGTGCCGGGGGTCCTGCAATGACCTCCGCTAGTTCCCTCAGCACTCTGGGGTGGAGGTCGTCAGGACCTGCTGATTTAAATATGTCCAGTCCCACCAGAAGTTCCCTGACTAGATCCTCACTGACCCTAGGTCTGGGTGTGCCTCCCCAGGGGCCTACAGGGGTCCTGGTAGGGGGGAATGATCCATTCCCTGCTCAGAAAAATGGAGGCAAAGAAATTGTTAAATAGGTTAGCTTTATCATCTGGTGCGACGACCAGATTTTCTAGCATGTTTTGCAGAGGCCCCACGTTACCCGGTACCTTCTTTTTACCCCCTATGTATTTAAAAAAGGACTTCTTGTTGTCCTTGATCCGGGTAGCTAGTTCCAGTTCCATCTCCACCTTGGCCTTCCAGACCGCCCCCTGCAGCCCCGAGCAACTGTGGTATAGTCCTCCCTGCTGATGGCCCCTCCCTTCCATTGGGTGTACACCTCCCTTTTAGCCAGGAGATGTTCCCGGATGCTTTTGGTGAGCCATGGGGACTTTTGCACCCTCTTGCCCCCTTTGATCCATGTTGGGATTACCTCCCTTTGGGCTTGGAGGATTGATTATTTAGTTAGGAGAGAAGATGAAGGAAAATGTGATAAGTCTTCAAATACCTGAAAAGCAATTATGAAGAGGATAGAGACAGTCTTTACTCTGTAGGAGTGGCTGTAGGAGACAGAACTAGGAGCAGTGGCCTTGAGCTGCAGCAAAGGAAATTTAGGTTGGAGCTTAGGAAGACCTCTCTGACTATAAACGTGGTTAAGCGTTGGAACAGGCTACCTCGAACTTGTGGAATTTCCACCTTTGGAAACTTTCAAAATCAGTTTAAAGAGGCAAAAGCAGTTTGGCAAGGATGGTTTAGTCAGGGGGTGATCCCGCATTGAGCAGGGGACTGGACTAAGTGGCCTCATGAGGTTCTTTCCACCCCTACTTTCCTATGATCTTGCTATTACAACTGGTCTTGAGAATATCTGTGTTATTAATTCATAGAAAAATTAATGAATTGCATTTGTTGCAGGATTCAAGTGGATTTTATTTAGTGTTTAATTTCAATTGCAGATACAGAAAACAAAGCAGATTTGGTTTCAATTAGAAGAAGCTTTGAAAATGTTAACCTAAAGGTAAGATCATTTCTGTTGCGCTTTCTGCGTTAATTATAATAGGACACTCTCTCTCTCTCTTGTTTTGGTTTCTTGTTTGTTTTTATTTAAACTATTTTTATGTGGACTTTTTTGTGAAAGGTGCTCGGCAGACAGTTGCAAAACCTGGTTAGCTGCAGCTCAAGTACTGTACAGGCTGCAACTGTACAAGTTTCTCTTCTTCATTCATATGCATCTCTTTCTTTGTTGTTAGAACATCTGTGTCTAAATCTGAGTCCTTCAGTCCTCTGAGGTTGCTAACAGATATTCTGTTAGCCCTTGCAGTCCTTTTATGAACTAAGTGGTAATCCCCAAAGCCATTTCACATAAGCTGCCCTTTAGGTTTCTTAGTCCCACTGAGGACAGTTAGGGACTTACAAGATCTTAAAGAGCAAATGAGGGAAGCCTGAGGGCAAACTAGGCTTTAATAAATTGCACTGCCCTGGGGGGCTACTTAGCCTGGCATAGCACTGTACTAATTCAGCTACCCTGCTTTCTGGTTCCAGAGCTAGCGCATTCACAGCTAGCTCAGCATATCTCTGCATGGCACTGCACTGTCCGATGTAGTCGTACTCTGTGTTTCTATATAAATAAATTGTGAGACTTCATCTGAAATACCATTTGCAATTTTCCTTAACCCATTTTGCCAGTTCAATTATTTCTCCTTTTATTTTATTTATTTACACTACTGTTATCTCACTGGATTCAACTGGACTTGACACATAGAGCTTTTCCTTTTTGAACACTGAAAGACTAAAAGCAGTGCTGAAAGCAAAAAAATCAAAGCTGTCCTGTCATCCCTACCAACCCCTGCCATACCCTGCTTTTATACTATTCTGTCCCTGTTATGTAAGTAACTTGGCCTGTCACAGGGTGTCAAACTTGCCCTGCCCCCAGGCTGGATCTAGACTGCAGGGCTCCTTGCAGGCCAGATTCAAACACAAGTGTGGGGACACCATCATGCATGCCCAGTGTGGTTTTGTGTCCTGGTTATGCAGCAGGTCTCATCCTGAATTCCTGTCCCCCCCTACCAGCCCCATGGACCACACAGTATGTCAGTGCAGGCCAAATCTGGCCCATGGGCTATACATTTGATGCCCTAGACCTGTCATGTTAAGTCTTTCAATTTGCATCAATATGCATTAATTATAAGGGGAGAGGGAGAGAAAAATATGCTTCAAACGTTTTCACCTCTCTCTAGGGATACCTCAAACCGGTTGGAAACTCTCCTATATCTTATGAAGATTTTTCCCAGTATCTTACAAAACTTGATACTTCTGCTTCTGCAAATTCAGGCCTAAACCCTTCAGCTCAACTCTTCAGCTTCACTAAAACCATACAGATAATTTAGTTAAGATCTAAGTTTAAATAAAAAAAACATTAATTTATTTTAAAGCTGTCTTAAACTTTCTTGAGCAACACCCATCTCAAAGTTTATGGCAGAATGGGATGGAATAATATGAGTGATCAGAAACATGAGGCTCAAATGTTGACATGATTTTTAAAGTGAGATTGTTGAAAGGCATGAATTAAGGGGTTATAATAAAAGTATATAAAATAATGGATAGTATAGAGCCTGTGCTCAGCTTTTTCTGATCTGGTCATCGAGTACAAGAACTTGGGGAAACTAGAATGTGGTGAAAGCAAAATAAGTAAAAGGGAGGAAATGCTTTCTCACAAACACATATATCAAATGTGAAACCTATTGCCACAGGCAGGCAGTCATTGAAGCTGAGAAGTTAGCAACATTCCAAGAGGGATGGGATGTCTGTGGATATCAAAACTATCCAAAGTGGTTTGAAGCAGTATAATTATTATTTTTTTTAGAAGTGATATTAATAACAAGGCTTCAGGCCAACCTCAAGTTAGTTAAGTCGGGTAAAGTCTAGTATGTAGGGCAGATTACCCCGTGTCCGCTTTCTTCAGTCTTCTTACGCATACTTTCTAAAACATGTGGTAGTGGCCACAAACAAGATACTGAAGGAACGTGTGTCTGATTCGATAATGAAACTCATGTTTTGATAAAGGCCCATTCGCACTCAGAAGTGCTGACACCCAGGTAAAGGAGTGAATTAAGGGGGAAAAATACTTGTGTGTGGATTATCATGCCCATGGCTGCTGTTTTTTATCATATATAAAAAATTAAATATAATTTGAGACATGCAAAGTCCTGCATTTGGGGCAGAACGATTGCATGAACAAATGCAGACTGGGGGATGATTGGCTAGGCTGTAGTACTGCAGAGAAGGACCCCATAGGGTTATGGCAAACTGCAAGCGGAATATGAGTCAACAGTGTGCTCTTACTGCAAAAAAAAAAAAAGCCAACAGCATCCTGGATTATATTAATAGGGTTGTCACTTGCAAATCAAGGGAAGTGATTCTTCTGTTGCATTCAGCACTGTTAAGACCCCATTTGGAGTACTGTTTGTAGTCTTAGACCCTATGCTTCAAATAGGACACAGACAATTTGGAAAGAGTCCTTTGCAGAGCAAGAAAAATGATTAGGGTCCTGGGAGACAAATTTTAAGGCTGAAAGAACTAGGGCTACTTCATCTGAAGAAGTGACCAAGTGGGGATTTGATAACAGTCTTCAAATACCTGAAGGGTGATTATAAAGAGGGTGGAAATGGGTTTTTCTCTAGGGCTGTAGGGGACAGGACTAGGAGAAATGGCCTCAAACTGCAGCAAAGGAAATTTTAAGTTGGAAATTAGGAAGAACTTCCTGACTATGACGGGAGTCAGGCATTGAAACAGGCTACCTAAAGAAACTCATGAGGTCCCTTTCAGCTCCACTTTCCTATGATCCCCTTTATAAGATCATAGGAAAGTAGGACTGAAAGACCTCATAAGGTCATCTAGTCTAGCCCCCTGCTCAAGGCAGGATCATCCCTGACTAAACCATCTTTGCCAAGTGTCTGTCTAATCTACTTTTGAAAGTTTCCAAGGATGGAAATTTTATGTTTGTGGTTCTCTGCCTCTGGAGTAACTGTCACCAAGGATTTTGGAGTCTTAGAAAGGCCATAGACAGATGTGCATTTGAAGTGCTCAAAGTTCTACTCCAGTTCAAAGCCCTTCAGTTCTCGGCAGATCTGTGGTTTCCAACCAGGCCTTCCCCCCATCTTATTCCAAATCTCTGTAATGGTATACTGAAGCTTCATGGTAGGGGCAAATGCAGACCTTCAGCATCTTACAGTCGTCTTTGGGGGAGCAGGGGAAGGAGGGAGTGGGAGTGGAGTAAGGTGGACAACCACTAGCTCACATGAGAGCACTTGTTAGCTGTCTGCCCTGCTCTCAATCTCCCCTACCCTCACCCCATGAAGCACTGGGATGACGGAGGACTGAACACTCTGGTGTTCCGACTCAGTGTTCCAAATGGTGCACAGAGGGATTTTAGGAAACGTTTTGTCCATGCATTTCTGTACATTTGTTGTCTGGAGCACTTCAAACAGAACATCTGTCCAGGGCCAACTCCTCTTTCAAAATGTTTTTGGCATTTTATTATTTACTTTCTACTGAGGGACACTGGCTAAGAACAAGTCATCTTCGGAACAGGATCAGTCGGGGTGGCATGTGTCCCTGCACAACTGATCCAGCTCATTGGCATCCACAGACATCACCAGGGCTGCTGTTCCACAAAGTCAGGTCCCCCTGGAGCTTCAGTGGCCTAATCCTGTGGGAGAGCCCATGCAGGTTCCTCCACTTGCAGATGTGTATCCTGAGTCAAGGTGAGGCAGCCTGATACTTGTGCTGCAAGAATTCTCTGCAAGAGAATTCCCATGCCACAAGCAAACAGATGTCTTGCCATTTAAGTCATCACAAACTGTGATTTCCTTAGGCACTTGGAACTGTGCCAAGGAGCTAGGATATCTGTTTGCTCACTTTGTTGGCACAAGGGTGATACCTGTTTACATCCGCTGAGACAGGGGTGTTCTAGCCCAAGGTCCCCTTGTTAATCAGTGATGTAGCCAGGGGCAGACTTGAGGCATCCAGGGCAACAATCCACTGTTTTTACCTCTCAAGAAAAATCTTCCCCCTCTCCCAAAATCATAATCAACCTTTTTTTTCTTAAAGATCAAGGTGAAGTAAGTCTGTAATACTGAAGTTGGATAGTAGAGTAGGTGGAGTAGCATTGTTTTTAACCTGCTCACATCATGTAATCATGCAAGTTTTTGGAAGATGAACTTTCTCTAAGGACTTGGATGTAGCTATTTATGTGTACTATTTTTAGAAATGCAATATTTTTTGTATAAAACATGTAATATACATGTACATACAAAATACATGTAATATAAAAATTAGGTTATAATTACTGAACATTTTAATACTCTTTACTTGGAATGTAAAGTTAGTTCATTCAAAATACAGTACTTTGAGTATGCCATAAGAATGTATTTATTAATAGTTATACCTATGTTTTTAATTTTTTTATTAATTTGAATAATAGGGATGCCAATATTATGTTTTTGACAAAGTATTTTATTAATTTGTACTTCATAATATTCTGTTGACGTGGCTATTTCTGGTGGGGCTCTTTTTTGACAATGATAGGAAAACAATATTCTGCTTGCAAACCCTTCTGAGATGGAAATGGGAGACAAATTCAGAGTTCGTGTGGATGTTTTAGTACAAGGTGATGATAGAAACATTCCCAAGTGGATTACGGTAACATATTGACTTTTATTAGTAGATGTTTAGGATTGTAAATCCAAAAAACAGCTGACAAAGCCGATAGGGAAATACATAGTGCCCGAGCAAGGGACTAACAGTAGAAGGATGGGGGTGAGGAGGGGAACGCAACTTGGTTACAGGAGATACAATGTTAGCCAACTAAGCCCGGGGGTAGGGGTGGGGGGAAGGGGAGGGAGGGGGTTCGCGACGCTGAGAGAAAAAGAAGATAGATACACACAAACCCCTTACAATGGTCCACAATGGTGGAAGAAGTAGTCCGAAGAAAAGGTGTCATGGTCCAATACTACATTTAGATAGAATCCATTAACTGTTTAAAATTGTATTTTTAAACTACTTGCCAACTTAATACTTAGTGTGCCTATTGCTAGGAACAATTCAAATGTGCAAGAGCTTCATTAGTAGAAAATAGGATAATTCTCTTGAAGATAGAGCATCTTAATCACTTATAAACATTTGAGTTGATTTAAAATTTAGTGTTATAAGGAAACTGCTGAATCAGTATACCCATTATAAATACAGGGTTGAGCGCAGTATATCCCAATCTGTTTTCCTCTCTTCTTGGTGGAAATCCAGTGATATCCTATTAGAGTAAACTTTAATAAGCTCATTAAGACTGATTTTGGGGGTGATTTTTTTGGTTGCTAAATATTAATCTATACTACATTAGCTAATTTATGTAACATTACTTTAAATGCTCAGCTATTTCTTTGTAGTCTCTTAATGACTTTTTTTTCTTCAATAAGGGTTACAGACCCTGCCAAGTAATGTTTATGGAATTTTTTTTATTATTATAATTGCCATACAGAGTATAATTTTATTTCCTCTTTGTAATCTGAGTTTTGATTTGACTTTTGTCTCTTGAGATGAGTTTTGTCCCCGTTGCTTTTAGTATTAAAGGAAAACTTAAAGGAACTGAGCAAACAGTATTCAAATAGCCTTTTTTACATTGCACATTATTTTTTCCGGTTATAGAGGTAAAGACGAATTTACACATCTTAGTTGGCCTGCTAAAGTAGGGATGTGAAAGGATAAACACTTCAATGTTAAGTGTATTTATACTGATAATTTATTACTGGTTAACGTTTAGCACAGGGCGCAGTTTGGCTCGAAAGGAAAGTGGTGCAGTGCCCCAGGAACAGGAAGGCGGCAGGGCAGGCAGGAGGGAGGAGCAAGGAGAAGAGGGAGGGGCAAGAGGGGAGACTAATAACCATAGCCTATGAGGTTAAAGAGGAAGACAGCGGGCAGCTTAATTAGCTGCTTGTTCACAGGTGTCCCTTCTTTCCCAGCGCACCAGTGGCTTCAGCAGGCTGGGAGAGCCCCTCACCTACTGCTGCATCTGTATTGTCTGGTAGGGTATCCCACTGCTAGCTCCCCTTTCCCTCCCCTTCCCCTCAGTCAAATGGCCCAGGGAGCAGCTCCCAGCAGCAGCCATGTCCAAGCTTCTGTGTTACCGCTTAATCATTTAACCAATATGATTAGGGAAGGCTAAACAGATAATTTTTTAAATAATATTTATATCCCTATGCTGAAGAACCAGTATTGTTATGATTGTTCTTTAGGGAAAATAGAAGTTAGGTTTGTTGTTGAGTTGCCTGGTACTTGTTTTATAAATCTAAGTAAATGTAAATATTTGGGAGCGAAATGTAAATTTTATGTTTAATTTAGAAATGAACAAAGGTGATATAAGATTTTGAATACTCTACAAAATGTCCTTTGAAGTTTTACCTACAATTACTTTGCATAATAAATCTTATTGAAGCTTTTATTAAACTGGAGAAAGTATTGAATGGAACTTTCTCTTCCTGGATTTCATTAAGCTACTCCTGAACAAGGTCATACCTCTCTTTCTCTCTTTATTTAGCACTAGTAAAATGGATGTCACAATCCAATGATGCTTGGGCACTAATGTAATAGATTCTCTAATTGAGTTCTGTGAGGTTTTTTTTCAGGTGGCACCTAGAGAAAAACCGGAAAGTATTTACCTACTTTCTCCATTACAAGGGCTAATGGAGACATCTAAATCTGTATTTGGTGAGCATCGTACTGAACATATTATTATTGATTTTAACGTGTTTTATCAGAGACACAGAAAAGTGTGCGTTTTCTGAACATGAAAGTACAGTGGCTTGAACTCTTAAGGCGCAGGTACATATAGGCGCATTATTAATGCTTTTCTAGAAATGTATTAAAAAAATTAAAAGGAAAAAGTGGCTAGTATAAATGAAGCCCAGTTAATTAAAAGTGACCAGAACAAAAGCTTTTGAGAATCCTGAGAAGAAAATTTTGTTTGGTAGTATCTGTTATTAGGTCAATTAATAATAAATAATTAGTAAGTCATGGAACACCTGCACAAACACCCCTCTTGGTCCAATTAAAGCTATTACCAAATTAATTTTGCTTCCTATATGTTCCCAGCTACCACAGCACTTTAAAAAAGCTCAATAATATTTAAGCTTGGTGATTTAAGCTCCTCCCTCCTAGTTCGGTCACATACTCTGGACACTCACCTTGCTGGGATCATCTGAGTTCAGCAGTCTTTCCTGCCCAAGCACAGGGGGCTGGACCCGGTGTTGGGAGGTCCCTTCCAACCCCAAACATCTATGAATCTATGAATTTTTACATGCTTTAGTGTTTGCCTTGGTTTAAATGCAGGGAATACATCCAGGAAAAAAACTACTTCACAGTTAAGGCGGCTAGGAGCTGGAACCACCTTCCAAGGGAGGTGGTGCTGGCCCCTACCCTGGGGATCTTTAAGAAGAGGCTGGATACCTACCTGGCTGGACTCATTTGAGTCCCGTTTTTTGTTTTTAGGGTTCTTTTGTTGTTCTCCTGCCCTGGCGGGGGGTCGGGCTAGAAGATCTATTTGGTCCCTTCCGACCCTAAAACTGTGAAACTATAGGAAGAGCACACACCAACTGCTGCAGCTTCCTTAGCCTGACGAAGGGTTTTTGAACCCAAAAGCTTGCTTAATAACTATTCTCCAACCATTTGGGTTGGTCTAATAAAAGATATCAAATTCACCCAAGGAACCTTGTCTGGGAGTACAGTGATGCATTTTTGTCTGACATATCTGTTGGATTTGCTTCCTTGCTACTTTTGCTCCCTTTCTTCTGCAAGAGAGTACCAGACTAAAATCCTGCAAACCTGCAACAGAAGACTCCCATTTATTTAAGTTCAAGTTTCACCCCTCTGGAGACTACAGATATTGGGCCTATCAATATATTGCTTCAGCCCAAGGGAAGTTTTTATTACTGACACATTCAAGGCTCCTGCAGTCTTATAGGAATATGCAGCAAAGCACTCTAGATGATAAAGAGATTCTTTTAGTTTTGTTAAACAATAGAACAAAGTTAATTATTGTGTTGCTCATAACGCAATTGTAATTTAATCTCAAGAGTGTGAGTCTCTTTCATGACACAAACTAACATGAGTGCTCCTAGCCAGATTCCATTAATCAATATTTGGTTACTTTTATATGAAATACTTAACACTTCACAGTGTATTATGTTTTGCCTCAGAGACCAAAAATGTTTACATTTTCAGATGAACAAAGTAAATTTAATGCTGTATTTTCTTATGTTTTAAGACTTGTTTTATGCCATTTCTTTCTAAGAAATTTACCTTGGACTTTCCAGTCAATGTCAGAAATTTTGAAAAGGAGAGACTGTATTTTGCCTTTGGAATGAAAGTACTTTAACTTTCTTTCAGCATTAAATTTCTCTCTCAAGCATTTTTTGGCCGCCTTTCTAAAATAACTCTACATTTTATTTTCTAAAACATTATCCGTTATCTGTAATCTGTTAATACAAAAATGTTCACAAAATATGTATAAAAATCTTCTTGCTTAATTACCCTTTAACTCGATGATAATTATGTTTAAAAAATACTAGAGATTTTAATCATGTATCAAAAAAATCTTTATTAAAGCTGAGTTTTATAAGGCTTCATTAAGAGATGAAGATCAACACAGAATACTTCACAGCATTTGACAGTCTATTAATGTTATAGACTCATAGTATGTAATAAATGTTACTAGAAAGTTTCTAATTACTATTTTGCATAACTTTATTTGGTAATGGTTTCAGGGACGAGTCTATACTATTATATTAGAAAGGGTCTAATTACTATTTTGCGTAACTTTATTTGGTCTACAAGGAAGCTAAGGTAATGGTTTCAGGAGGAAGGCAGAGTCAGGTAACATGTTTTGCTTCCAAATCTCAAATCACATGTTTCCGCTGTTCCTTTTTTATCAGAAGATACAGTTGCACCCAGATGTCGACCTCTCATGGAGAAAAATGAAACTGGCTATGATAGCTTTTATGAAGAGTACCAGTCTGCAGATGAAGAATGTTCCTGGAGCAATGTCACACTTGCAGACTTGTATCCAAGCATGGTGGAGAACCTTAGCAAGCTGATCAACAGACAAACTCAAAGAAAAATAGCTGATTACATCATCAGAAACTACAAACGCAGAGGATGGCATCCTAAAAAATCAAGACTTAATGTTACCATGGTAAAAACAAAAAGGTTGAGGCCAGCTAAGGTTGAGGCCAGCTAAAGTAAAGCGCATCCTGCTGAACACATATGGTGGTAATGATCAGGAGAAACAAAAATTACTTCCTGGAACTAAAGTCAATGAGAATAATTATGACACATGTTTAACTAGGGATGAATCTGATGTGCTGTCTTGCTTACCTTTTAATACTGAAGAAATGGAAATAGACTGTATAATAGACTGTTCTGGAAGTTTCGCCAATAATTCTTACACTGAAAGAACAGACCAAAACATCTTGAAGTCAACTATTTTTCCAAATGCAGTCATTAGAACAGACGAAACATTGTTGGTTGAGAGTCCACCTCAAGCCACTCTGTCACTGAAGCATTCTCAAGGTAGCCCAGCTGAGAAGCTTCCTGAAATATCTTCTCAGAAATACCCTTCTGTAACTTGCACTGGAGGTTTGGGATCAGTGTCTCTTTGTCTAATGAAGGATGGTGAGAACAGCAAAATTGATGGTGTAACTTTTGATAGTACCTCAGAGAGAAACACTCCCACTCGCAACTTTAATGCCGATGCTAATACCTTTCTGTCGCTGAACAACTACTCCTTAGCAAGAACATCAGATGTATTTCACAGACAGCCTGAAATAAAGCCAATCGAAGGAGGTGTTTTGTTGCAGCGCAGTCATTCATTTTCCTCACTTCCTGTGAATCGGAGTCCTAGCAAGGCTCAGCAGAAATATGAGACTGCGTTTGAAAAAGTTTACCAGAAGCTGTGCTCTAAAGAACTTCAGAAACCACTTATATTTCCAAAACCTCCTTCAAACCTAAGGGGATTTGAAGAGAAAGAAAGTTTATTCAAAATTAACTTTTCTGAATCTGAAAAGTGTCATAAACAGTATGAACATGCATTTGACAAGATTTACCAGAAGTTACATACTGAAGGGCTTCCAAAACTTCCTACTTTTTTAAGAGCTTCAAACTTAAGGAAATATGAATGCATACAAATGTCTGAAACTGTAAATGCCCTAATTAATTCACCCATAAGAACTTTGCCTTCATTTGCCAGAATTAAGAGAGTAGCAGATATCCACAAAGAAGATCTTTTGTTTTCACCGCTAAAGAGACTGAAAAATGTACCTGAATCTTATTGTCCTAAAGGAGCATGTCCAAAGTCCTCTCGTAAGAAACATGTTAACTCTCAGACGACTGGCATGGACTTATCAAACACAAAGGATGAGATTGTTGTCAGCCTCTCTCAAAGTCCAAATAATCAAAATTATGACTCTGAGAACTTTGTAAGGAAACTTTTACTGTATTGCCTTTTTTTCCCCACGAACACACCTGAAATGTTAAATGTCTTGTCTCATGTCCTCAAAATCTACATCCTGGGGAAAACTTTCAGCCTTATTTAATGTAGAAACAGTCAAATAATTTAAAAATATTAAACAATATCTTTAATTTTAGTTGATTGCAGTGACTATTGAAAGAAAAAAACCCAAAAAACGTTTTGCTCTTTGAACATTAACTAAATCATATTGGCTAAGTAAAGACAGTCAAAAAAGCCCAAGGCTAAATTGATTCAATCTTCACAGGTTAGTCTAAACTGCGTATATTGAACTGACACGCAAGTGAACAGACATTTATTTTTGATTCGGGAAAAGCAACCACGTGCCTACAGTGGCCTAGGCCAAAAGCCGGTGGGGGGCGGCACTAGAGCATACCCACTTGCTCAGCCTGCCCACTCTGTGAAGTAGGGATTTGCAGGGGGAGATGAAAAGCATCCTGGGATGGTGGGTGACTGAGAATTAACTAAACTGTGGAGGAGATCTGGAAGTTCAATAAACCTAAATCACTTAAGCCTGATACGACACCCATCCAGATTTATCTTTAACCAGTTTTGGCCATTTTGAAAGTAGTTTATGTGCACTGAGCTTCTGTATATTACAGATTTGAACCAGTTTCCAATCACTTAGACCTGTTTGTGTGTAATTTCTGTCCCTAGCCCTTAACAACTTTCCTGTGAAACTGGCAAGTATTACTCCCATTTTATTGTTGGGAATACTGATGTTAAAAACTTCATAAGGTCCTGTTGAAACCAGTAGCTTTTTACTAATTTTTATAGGTCTTAAATTGGTCCCATAGTCCAGGGTTTCTTGTCCTGCTCTCCAGCAGTGTTCCCTCTAAGCTGTGTGGCATGTGTGGCCGTACAGGCATGCTCATGCTGTGCTCCCAAGCGTGGCCGCGCACACCACACAGCTTAGAGGCAATGTTGCTCTCCAGTTCAGGCAACGAATGCTGAGATGTTTGAAAACTCACTTAATTTATCAATGTTTTTCTTTTAGAATGTTGGGTTTCCTGCTTCTCCAAATCATACTTTTCTTGTTCATCCAAGTACTTTCCTGCAAGGTAAGTTCCAGAAGGCCTTGTGAGGTAATTGCTTTATAGGTTAGGAGAACTGCTTTACAGGATAAGCCAGTAGATCTCTGCAAATCATTTCCTAAATGACATCCATTTCCCCTCCCCCAAAACACACCTCATACAAAACAAATCATGAAAGGTTTTGTGAACTGCAGCTTGAGAGTTGTTTGGCTATTGTCTTCTTCCATTAAACCAAAAACTCCTTATAAAAAAATTATATAGTGTTTTTTCTTCTCTAATCTGCTTCAAATGATGTACACAACATCTCTGTTAATGTGAATGGGGAAATTGGTAATTAGTTAATATTATGCTTTAGGAACCAAATACTTTTATTAACAGTTTTAGGGTATGTCAACTTCCAGCTGCATTTGGCAAAATGTGGTTTGTTTTGTGCTTTAGATTGACTAGCTTACGGAGTTTTGTGCGGGCCGGGAGCGACCCGGGCCCTTTTCCGTGCTGCACGCGGGCTGTGGCCAGCAGCCCGGGCACGCTGGATCGGAGAGGGAGGGCGACGAGCTGGAATTAGGCACAGACGCTTAACGATAGATTTTAAAGATTGTTTACTTACACCAGAGATGGTAGTGGTGTAGGCTGGAAAGCTTGCTTGAGTTGCAGTTACAGACACAGACAACACGAACGGTCGCATGGAGTTTGCTAGGCTCCACGGAACAGAGCTCCGGATGCTCTGGGTGAGCGCGCCACCAAAATCGGACTCGTAGATACGTCTTATAAATTCTTTCCGCTCGAAGACGGGAAGAGGTGGGCGATGGATCAGGTCGCCAAGCTCCTCTGAATCTCACACAGGGTCTGTATTACCCTGCCGTGTATCCAGAGTCTCCACGAGATGGATGTGGAGTCCTCTTCGGCTTGGGCGGAAACTGCTCAAGCCTCTTATACGGCTAACAGGCCAATCGTTAGCTGCCACCGTCGTTGCCCGCCACGGGGAAATATTTTAGAATTAGCCAATAGCAGGGAACGAATTTGCATACGGGTGGCGGGAACTCTTTTGCACCATGCATTTCTCTTGCAACTTGAGCAATGCACCCTGCAAAAGAAGCTGCAAAGAGGCGGGAAACTCGTCCCTGCACCGGGGTTCTCCTCTGCAAACGGAAACTCTCCCGTGCAATGAAGTTGCAACCTGGCGGGGATAATTCTGGTGCCAAAGCACACACAAAATCATGCCTTTGGGTCATGACAAGTTTAAGTGATAAGAATGGTGTGCTTGAGTTGATAAGAGAATTTGCTCAAGCTCTAAATTTGAAAAATTAAGAATGTTTTTTGTCTAGAGGTATACCAATATATCAGTGCCATATTGGATCGGCACCAATAAAAGGAAAATTAACATTATCGGCTTTTTTGGGTGGTGTAGCCAATAACATTAACCAATAAATATAATATGCTTTCTGGCGAGGGCCCCCAATTGCCACATGCATGCACACAGCTGGATGCATGCATGTGCCCAGGAATGCAGGCCGGCAGGTTGGAGAGCAGAGCCCCACAGGTAAGTTTGTGGCAGGGAAGGGGCATGGGAGAGGGAAGGGGTGTGGGGGGTGCAGATCAAGGTCCCTCATGGTGAGGGAGGGAGCAGGGCAAGGGCTGGGGGCACTGCCCAGCCTTGGCGGTGAATGGGACCTGGGACTGGGGTGGCAAGCAGGATGGAGCCGCAGGCAGCTTTTCCAAGGCGTACGGGGGGGTGACTCCCCTCTGCTGCACACACCCCCTGGGGCAGGCATAGGGGAGCATATGTCCCCCAGTTTTGTGCATGGGGCAGATGCAGGCTGCCTACTCAGGGCTCTGCTCTGCTGCCTTTCCCTCAAGAGCCCTGTGCTGGTCTCACGCTCCCTGGCAGCAGTGGGGGTGGCAAGTTATGCCTCCTGCTGCCAGGCAGTCAGGGGACATGCAGCCAAGTGCTCCTGAGGGAAAGTCAGCAGGGCAGAGAACCCTGATCCCACAGCGAGCAGCCCACAACCTCCTGCTTGCCCCATTTGATTTCGGTTAAAAGCGTCTGTGTGCTTAAAAATGGGGGTGGCAGGCAGTGTTTGAACTAAAGCGCGTTTGCCAAGCTTTAGTTCAAGCACACCTGCCACCATTTTTAAACACCGGGATACTGATCCCCTGAACAACCTGCCTGCAGCTTTGTCCCACTTTCTGCCCCGGACCTGGATCCTATTCACTGCCGTGGCTGGGCAGCACCCCCAGCCACAGCCCTTGACGCTGCCCCACTTCCTACCTCACCATGGGGACTTCAATCTGCTGCCCTTCCCCTCCACAGACTAACTTTCAGGGAGCTGGTGTCCAATCTGCCCAGCTGCATTCCTGTAAATTGGTTATCAGATCAGTATTGGGTGATATACCTGGTTCGTGATTGGCCAAGAAAATCTTTCTTGGTGCACCCCTATTTTTTTCATCAGCTTTACATATTTGAAAACTATGGTCTTGTCCTCCCATCCTCTCTTCAAGTCTCCTTTTCTCCAAACCAGCCCTGCCTTGTTCCTTCAACTTTTCCTTGTATAACTTACATTCTATTTGTCACTTGTCTTCTTTTCAGTTTCTCTCTTTTCTTGAAATGTTGCACCCTAAACTGAAAAAAAGTACTTTAGCTAGGGTTTAATCAGTACTGAGTATTGTGGTGCTATCATCTATCTCCCTTGTCTTGCATACAGAGCTTCTGCTAATGCAACCCAGATTTGCATTTTTGGTTGTTTCTGAGTTTTTTGTGACCTTTAACCTCCAGATCCTTTTCATTAGTGCTACTGCCAAGCCAGTTATCCCCTGTGCATCTGTTTTAGTTCCTGGAATTAGCATGTTAATTTTAATCTTTTTCTCCAAAGCATTTATAGCCTCTATTATTTGTACATCCTCTGCAGATTTGATCAGTTTACTCTCTTCCTGTAAAGTAAACAACTCTGAACATGGAACAGGTCCATTTGGAGTCCCACTTGGGACCTTCTGCTCATCTGACATTGAACCGTCAATAGATTCCCTTTGCTTATGGTTATTCAGCCAGCTAATGCTAATTCTAGCGACCCACACTTCTGCTGTTTCCTCATGAGAATATCTTGTGGGACTGTGTCCAAAGCCTTACTAAAATCCAGGGATATTATGTTCACCTCTTACTTTTCCTATCAACTCAGTTACCCTTGTTAAAGAAGGTAATCAAGTTTGTTTAGTGTGGTTTATTCTTAACACATGCATTTTTCCTAGTTATCATGCCTTCCTCCTGACATTTACTGTTTTGTTTCCTCCAGTAGCTTCTCAGGTAGGGAAATGAGTCTGACCAGTGTTTAATGCCCTGGGCTTTCTTTTTCGCCTCTGGAAAGGTGGGCACTACATTAGTCCTTCTCAGTAGGGGTGTGCAAAATGGTCCGTATTCAATTCAGATTCGGCCCAAATCGGGGACAGTGATTTGATTAGTTGATTCGGATCACTGTCCCCAATTCGATTTGGCCAAATTCGAATCTGAAGATGTGGAGAATCAGTGATTCAGCCATAGGCACAGCTTTAAATGTTTTTTCTACATACCTCAAGGTACCAGGTGTGGCTTGTGAACACTGCGATGGTGGGGCAGATGGAGTGTCCTGCAGGGGCGGGGGTCCCTGCGTGCTCTGTGCCAAACCCAGAAGTGGACCTTGAGTACTTCTGGTCTACTTCTGGGTCCTCCACCGAGCATGCAGGGAGCCCTCCCTTGCTCCCCCGGCTCGGCAATTTGGCCACGGGGGGACCCCGGGTACCCCCCCAGACCCAAGAGACACCAGTCACCAAGCAGGGGGGTGCAGGGTGTCCCCCAATACACTTGCCAGCAGACCTGGAAGTGGACCAGAAGTGCTTCTGGTCCCCTTTTAGGTTTGTTGCCGAGCACACTGGGGACCCCCTCCCCCCCCACCCCCCGCGCTCCTGAGGGACGCTCCATCCACCCTACCATTGCAGCATTCACAAGCTGCCTGGTACCTTGAGGTATGTAGAAAAAACATTTAAAGCTATGTCCAAATCATTGAATCTTTCCGAATCTCTCAGAATTGAATCTGAACCCTCAAGGATCTCCTGATTTGATTCAGAGATTTGGCCACCAAATCAGGCCGAATCTCCACCAAATCAAATCAGCAACCGAAGCTTCTCACAGCCCTACTTCTCAAGTCTTTTGTCTATGTTGCAGCAGCATGTATCAGCCAAGATAGGCCTGTGTGTGTCCTGTATCAGTTGGAAATGCACTCCAGACCCAAAAGTTCACTGGTGAGGCCACTGAGGGGTAGTCTCTCAGGCGGCTCTTGACCCCTTAGTACTTGCCTGTCATCTCTACAGCTAGTTCTTTCAGCACCCATGGGTGTATTCTGTCAGTCCCTCCTGACATAAATTCATTCAGGCTGTCCAAGTTCTCTGACACATTTTTTATGCAACATGATCTTTGTTGATAGTATTTGGCTAGTCTTGTGGTTAGATGTTTGTATGTATGTGTGTGCGGTGTCTTTTGTGACTGAAGTAAATTAGTTACTGAATAGCTTACCTTCTCTGTCTCTTCCATTAATAGCTCACCTATCTGTGAGCTGCTGACTCATAGTTGTCCTAGTCTATTTTTTTCCTTCCTTTGTTGAACCCTTTCTTCTTACCCCTTCAGCAACTTCTACTGAATTGTAACTCTTTTTTTTTTCTGCTTTTGGTTTCCTAATTTTTTTCCCTTCGCTTTTGTTCTGTTTGTGTATTTTTCATATTAGCAGTTGTCAATATTTCCTGTGCAATAAGTTGCATTCAGTTCCAGATTTTCAGTTCAAAGCTAATGGTGATGCTATCACCTTGGAAAAAAATGAATTGGTTTCTGAGAATGTTCTACTTTTGTTGCAAGAAACACTTAAGATCAGCTGAAAGAGATTAGAGGTCCTTTGTTTCCTCAATTTCTTGTGCTTTTCACATGTTGGGCTTTCAGCAGTGAGACCACTAAAGCGCTACTCTGAAGCGTGCTCATATAAGTGTTACTTTCTGGTTCCTGCAAGAGG